GACTGGCTGCTCTAATTGGGGTCATTGTCCTCAAGGCCTGGTGGGCCAGGATGTGTTCCACTCTCTCCTCCTCCACGTTCATCTGCTCCCATGTGCTCCATTCAGATATGTCCCTCTCCCAGAGCTGCAGATTCAGTGCCATCATCTGAAATAAATTCTTCTGGGGGGAGGGGAGTGATTCTTAATATTTGTAAAGCCACTACTATCAGTCTTATTTGTCTATACAGTAGAACTGGGAACAACCCGACCACCACCTTCTACGTTCCTATGTACATGCTGATAGAGGAAATGGCACAACTGTGTAGTCTGGCACCACTGCAAATCACTGCGCCCCAACTCCACACAGTCTGACATCAACTTCTGCCCTTTCCATTGCTTATAGGAGCCAGGTCCCATGTCACCTGTCCTGCCATCAAAGCCACCCTTCACATCCTGATTGATAGGAGAAAATCAGAACAGAACGTCAAATTCTTACAAAATCCAACTTACTGCGTCAGCTGAAACTAATACAACCCAGTGAAAGTACACTTCAAAAGCATGAATTTTATGGTGTATATTTTCTCTCAATAGCGCTATTTAAAAAATAACACAATAAAATCTGGAAAGGGAAAAAATGAGGAGCTGATACCAAAGGCTTAAGTGGAGACCAAATATTTTGAGAATGATGAGGGCAAATTTCCTCAAAAGCCGATTCTCATGCTTCAAGCTTTGTTTCTCAAGGAAACAGATTATACAGAGACTTCAAAGTTGTCTGAAATCCAAAATGATCAGTAAAACAAACCTTTTTCGGTGAATTTAGAAAGAAGGTTGCAGTTTTTTGTTTTGTTTTTTTACTGGGGGCTCGTACAAGTCTTTTTACAATCCATCCATCCATCCATTGTGTCAAGCACATTTGTACATTGGTTGCCATCATCGTTCTCAAAACATTTGCTTTCTACTTGAGCCCTTGGTATCAGCTCATTTTTCCCCTCCCTCCCTCCCTGTTGTTGTTTTTTTTAAGTGCAGCATTTCCCCAAACTTTAATCATATCCTTTTCTCTTTGGGTTTAATAACTTTATTATTTATTATTATTATCTAAGGAGATTTTTTCTTAAGTCTCCCTTATAGGCAGTCATCTTTACTCCCAGATTCTAGTTGACCTTGGAACGATCTTCTACTGGCAGAGCATTCCTTCGGCCTCCTTACTTTCCCCAAACCATCCTTCATTATGTCTCAGTCTGTGCCTTCTCTGTTCTTTTCAAAACAGCAGTCCCTCAGGGCTTGTTTCTCTCATTCCACATGCTTCCTGGGCAATTTCATCTACTTCCAAAGTTAAGGAAATGCTTTTATGTTGCCTAATGGGAAGCACCTCCTGCATTTTGACAAGCACAGAAATCCAGTGGAACCTAAATGATCCATGTCCCCTCCCACAGACGTGCTGCTTTTCTTTTATTCCAGTGAACGGCACTACCATCGGCTAGTCCCACGTGCCAGGGGCCTTGGAGATACCTAAGACTCTTCCTTTCCCCACCACACTCATTCACCAAGTTTACAAATTATTACCGTATGAAATCGAAACCAAACCCATTGTCCTTGCGATTCTAACTCACAGTGGCCCTAGAGGACAGAGGAGAATTGTCCATTAACTTTCCGAGACTGTCCATCTTTTTTGTTTGTTTGTCTGCGTTTTACTGTCTTTGTTTATTTTATTTTTTAATCATTTTATTAGGGGCTCATACAACTCTTATCACAATCCATACACACATCAATTGTGTAAAGCGCATTTGTATATTCATTGCCCTCATCGTTCTCAATACATTTCCTCTCCACTTAATCCCTCCGCATTAGGTCCTCTGGACTGTCCATCTTTATGGAAGCAGACAGCCTCATCTTTCCCCCACAGAGCAGCTGGTTAAACAGCCAGCCTTTAAGTTAGCAGCCTAAGGCTTCCTCCATTTTACCACCACGACTCATCTCTCTTACATCCACTTTCTATCCCTATTGCCTCTCCCTTGGTTTAGTTCTCATCATCTCTCACCCACGTTACTTGCAATGACCCTCCAACTACAGCTAATATCTCTGCTTCCAGTTCATCATCTGTACCTGGGGCCAGAGCAACTTTGAAAGCATAAAGCCTGTGATGCTGAATCCTTACACTGAAAATTTTCAATGGTTTCCTATTGCTAATCAGATGAAATTCAAACTTACAACATGACAAATAAGGCTCTTAATGATCTGACCTCTTTCCATCTCTCTCTAATCTTATCTTTTGTTTGGTCTCATCCATACCCTATGCTAGGGTCACTCTAGAGTGCTTGCAGTTCCCCAAAGCTTGTTTTAAGCTCATTTCCCTACTGACTAGAGTCACAAGAGACTAACCCACTTACTTTGGGGGGATTTGAGGGGGAGGGGTATAATATACTTTACTGATGGTACATAGCTAGCAAGGTGGGCTTTCTAAGCCCCTCCCCTTCTTCAGAGGGTCTGGATGTAAACTCTCAATGAGAGATTCCCAGCATGTTGGGGTGGATCAAGTTGAGGCAAAGACGTCTCAGCAGGTGATGGCATCTATCTTCCTTTTGTGATGTTGCTGGTGGTCCGGGGGAGCTCTTACTCCTTGGAGGCCATGTGGACCCCAAGGTCCCCCACTCTGTTGCTGTAGCCAAATTCACTGTCATTCCAAGAAATGAGCTTGACAAAGTGGTCGCTGAGGGCAATGCCAGCCCCAGCATCAAAGGTGGAAGAGTGGGTGTCACTGTTGGAAGTCACAGGAGACAACCTGGTCCTCAATGTAGCCCACGATACCCTTTAGGGGACCATCAGACACCTGCTTCACCACCTGATTGATGTGATCGTACTTGACAGCTTTCTCCAGAAGGCAGGTGAGATCCACGACAGACACACTGGAGGTGGGAACACGGAAGGCCATGCCAGTGAGTTTCCCATTTAGCTCTGGGATAACCTTGCCCATGGCCTTGGCAGCACCAGTAGATTGGGGATGATGTTCTGGGCAGCCTCATGGCTGTCGTGCCAGAGTTTCCCAGAGGGGTCATCCATAGTCTTCTGATGTGATGGCGTAGATAGTGGTCATGAGTTCCTTCCACAATGCCAAAGTTGTCATGGATGACCTAGGCCTGGGGGACCAAGCAGTTGGTGGTGCAGAAGCCTTGGTGACAAGCTTAAGGGAGTTAAAATTTTCCTGATTCACACCCATCACAAACATGGGGGGATCAGTAGAAGGGACAGAGATGATCATCTTTTTGATACCCCTCTTCAAGAAAGCCCCAGCCTGATATGGTTGTGAGGGCACCATATCAGGACTCTCTGACATACTTAACACCAGCTTCACCTCACTTAATGTTGGTGGGATCTCACTCCTGGAAAAGAACGACGGTCTTGCCATTGATGATAAGCTTCTTGTTCTCAGCCTTGATGGTGCCACTGAACTTGTCATAGGTGGAATCATATTGGAATGTGTAGACCATATCGTTTAGGCCAATGAGAGGTCATTGGTGGTAACAATTTGGCCAATCCATTTACTCTGGCCTTCACCACCATGTTTGCAGGATGGACCTGGGACTGTACAAGATGCAGCTGCAGAGCAGGAGCAGAGAGCCTACTTAACCCACCTATTTTCATGTGAACCAGCATAATCCTTCATTTCTCTCCTATCAGTCTAATTTGCACTCTATTTCTTGTCTGAATAGAGTTAAGTTTGCAATGTTTGCTGCATACTTTTATCAGAGGATTGTTGACAGTTTATTGCACTTATATATTTACACATCAATCTCCCTTTTCGATGCTGTAATTTGCTAGTGAGTAGATATTATCTTTTGCCCTTGTGTCCCTAGACACCTAATAGGTGCTTACAAAATGTTGAAAATGATTAATCAGCAGCTTAAAAATGAGTAGGCTTAGATCAGAAAGGAGGATTTGTGGAAGAACTAACAAGCAAACTGAAGTAGAATACATTTTACAGGCCACCTAGAGCAACCCTGAAGAGCTAAGGCAAGGTGAAGTGATTTAAGGTTTTTTACTCTGATGCCTAGAATAATGGTGGTGATTTAAGAAATGAGAAAATTAAGAAAGTGAATCCATTTGACAACAGAAAATCTGGAATTAGATTTGGACTTGTTAAACTCAAGAGGACAGGAAGACCTTCCAGCTAGCCACTTGCTTAACATTTGCTTGCCCTTGAAGAAGGAGACCAGTATTAGGCAATGGGCTACTAAGCACAAAGTTGGCGATTCAAATCCACCAGGTGCTCCAGAGGAGAAAGGCGAGGCTGTGTGCTCTTGTAAAGATTTACAGTCTCAGAAACTCTATATAGGATCACTCTGAGTTAGAATTGACTTAATGGCAGTGGATTTGGGTTTGAACTTAACACGGTCGTGGTTGAAACTATAGATCTAAGAATCATAGGAAGATCTGAATCACACAGAACTGAAGCTGTACAACAATTTCAAACACAAGAGTGAAAGGACAATTAAAATGCATTGGCAATGTTTTCAAGAATAAGTCTGTGGCTACCAAATGGAAAAACCAATCTGAAGGCCTTTCCGTGGAAAAGAGGAGTGGGGGTGTTATCAATCTAGCAGACTGGTTAATTGTATTTGGGGTCTCTGAGCATTGTGCAAGGGGGCTGGGTCAAGAGAATTTAGGAAGCTCTATTCTAGGAGTATTAAATTTATTTATTGTTTAATAAAAACCCAAAACTCATAGCCATCAAGTTGATGACTCATAGTGACCCTATAGGACAGGGTAGAACTGCCCCCTTTTTATCTGAGTAGAAAGCCCAGTCTTTCTCCCAAGAGGTGGATGGTGATTTTGAACTACTGATCTTGAGGTAAGTAGCCCAACATGTAACCCACTATGCCACCAAGTCTCCCTCCTCTTTAAAGGAAAGGCATAAAGATTTATCAACATTACCTGGGGGATGACAGCTCAGCCAGGCCTCCCCTTCATCTTTCCTATGAAGAGAGACAAAAGCCTAATTAGGCTCACCCAATGTTGAAATGGATGCCGCTTACACAATGAGAGAAAGGTCCTATCATCTCCAGTTTAGCCACAATATTCGACACAACTAAATCCAACCTCTCATGCAGGTATTGGTTGTTTTAAGGCAGTTAAACTTCATTTGTTAAAGAAATATTTGTAGATTAAGTATCTAATGAATGGTTATTTACTGGCTAAATGAATGTTTAAATACTTTCAATGATAGGGAGTTAACTGTTAATTGCTTAACAGCTTTGAAAATCAAAGTTATTTTCTATTTCACGATTTACTGTGTAAGTCTTGCTCTGTGTTAGGTAGTTTGCAAATAGCATTTTAAATCTTCATGAGACACCTTTTATTATCCCCATGTTAAAGACAGAAAACTAAAGTTCAAAGAGAAGTGACTTGCCCAAGGTTCTCTAACTATGAAGTAGAAATTGGAACCTGGTGTTAGTACATAATAAAGTCTGTGTACTTTTTTTCCCTGTGTACTTTCAACCTCCACACAGGCTTCTCACATGCTTTAGGGTACACGTTTTCAATCATTAAAATCTTGATCTCTTCACTCCAAGACTATACAGTACCCTGGAAAGGGCCTAGGCTTTAAGAGCAATCTAGGTCGAGAACAAGTTTCTATCGCTTATTAGCTATATGTTCTTGGGCAAACTACTTCCTGATTCTGATCCTACATTCACTTATGGCCTTGTGGTGGCACTCAATAAATGTTAATGTTCTTTATCATTTATCACACAATCTGTGTTGCAGTTTAAGTACTCTGTAAATTTTTGCCCCTCTATTAAAGTATCTAGGGCAGTGGTTCTCAACTTTCCAAAGGCCACGAACCTTTAATACAGTTCCTCATGTTGTGGTGACCCACCCAACCCCAGCAACCATAAAATTGTTTTCCAAAAAACACACAAACAACAAAAAAAATTGTTTTCATTGCTACTTCATAACTATAATTTTGCTACTGTTATGAATCAGGCGACCCCTATGAAAGGGTTGTTCAACCCCCAAAGGGGTCATGACCCACAGGTTGAGAACCACTGACCTAGGGTGAAAGACTGGTCTTTCTCCTCCTACAGAGAGTTAGTTTTGGAAACCAACAGGGGCCGTTCTACCCAATCCTATAGGGTCACTAAAAGTCAGCATGGACTCGATGGCAGTGAGTTTTGAGTAAGTATATATTTTCTGAATGCGGGATGCTATGTTTCATTCATCTTTATGAGTTTCAATTAGAAAAACTGTTAGTAGTAATAGTCCCTGTAGAAGTACATCATGTTTGGCAGAGGGTCATTGAAAAACAGGTATACCCTAAATGAAATGGATTGACACGTTGAGAACCAAGATCTCAAACAAGCTAACAATTATGAAGATGGCACAAGGGGGGCTAATGGTGCTGTTTGTTACCAACTTGATTATAGCACCCAACAGCAAACACAAAAGCAGTAATAGTTGTCATATTGCACTACTATAACTGACACACTGTAGACCATACATATTAAATGACTGAAATGGCATGATGTGTACTACCAATTACACAGCTTGTGACAACAGTTGCCATTTATTTCACTACATTAATCATTCCAATGCCTAGAATGGCGTAGAAGATGATCAATAACTTTATATTAAAGAAATGGTTTGCTCTGTATTCTCAATTACATCATCAGTTTCTTCAAGCCAAAAAACACCTCTTATATTCAGAATACACTTGTGAACTCAACGGAGCATTGCTTCCTGAAGATAACTGTCCAATATGCCTTAATATAGGGTCAGGTGCTGAGAAGGATACAAAGATTTTTAACATCTTCACTCAAGTACCATATAGTGGTGGGTACTGGGATTTTAACAAATAATTGATGACCGATGTTTGCTCAGTGACGATTGAGTCAAGAGTCATCCTGCCTCCCAGCTTTCCTTTTCCCAACACAGTGAACTAAATCCTGATGCTGGGGTCACGCGGCGATTATCTTTTCTCTGGGTCTCTGCATCGAGAATAAAGCACGATGACCGTGTGGCTCTGAGACTTGTCTTTCGAGACTAGTGCCCTACAATTCTCCAGCAATTGATGAGTAACCGCCATGGAGATCCTGGATCCGGGCTGGGTCTCTTGATGAAAAGGCAACACTCGCTCCCCCCCTGCTCCTCCCGCACTCGGGGCCTGCATTCACCTGAGTGCTTGCGCCCAGTCACTCTGAATCCTCAAAGGCACCGCCATCTTGACCCCGCCTCCAGTGGCCCGCCACTTCCGCCTACCCCCTCACCCCCGGAAGTGAATTCCCAAAGGCGTGGTACCAAGGGTAGTAGGCGGGTCCAACTGAGAAGTGTCCAATCAAAGTGTGGCGCTCCACCCTCCATCCACGGCCGCTTCCGGAGAGCACGTCTCGAAGACGGCCGCTTGCCCTTCGAGCAGTCGCTACGAAGCCGAAGCCGCTGAGCAAAAGTCCATATTCGGGTTGTTTTTTCCCCGCCTGTCGGGTGAGCGCTGCAAGCCCCGTGCTTGCGTGGGTAGGCGGGGCGAAGCGGGTGGGGAGTGGCGGGGTTAGAGTGGGGTGCGTTCGGCGGCTGCGCGTGCGCATGCGTTCTCGACGGTGGACGGCAAGCGTCAGGTGACCCGCACTGAGGGGTTTAACTTCTTCCACGCCTTTCGACTTCAGGCCGGGTTCTATGAACCAGCTGCCGAGCCCCTTCCTCAGTTTATTCCTAGGGAGTTTGTAGCCGGGATTTGGTGGGGAAAGAACACTAGCTTTTACAGAGTCCCCGTTGTAGCCCATCCCCTTTTCATTCCTGATCACATTGCTGCTGTTCTTAGCTGCCGTTGAGTTGACCTGACTCCGGGAGACCCTGTGCACAGGAAGATCAGACCTTTGTCATCACAGGGTTCTCATTCGCTGCTTCTGGGACGCAGATCGCCTGGCCATTCTTCCTGGGCACTCCGCTGTAACTTGTGCCACGTCATCATAACAGGCGAGACCACTGACATATAAATGGTGGCTGCATTTGTAATCACAGGGTCTCCTGCACGAATGGTGAGAATACGACCCCTGAACCATGCTTGTCCCGTTCTCATATTAATCCTCACTTTAATACTAGGAGTTAAATGAAGAAACTAAAAAGATTGTATTGTTTGGTCGAAGGTGCTTTCTCCCATGCCTGCTGTAAGAGTTCACCTTTTGCCTTTAAAGAGCTAACAATATATTTAGGAAGCATGAACTTACAAGGAAGGATCCTTTATTAGGCTCTGAAAGTGCAAGCCTCCTTACATGCATTATCCCATTTCCACGCAGCAGCCCTAGGAGGTGGACTTGCCCAAGGTCACAGTGAGTCACTGATGGCTAAATTTCCAACCCAAGTCTCTTTTTTAAAGGCCATTCCTGGCTCCCCCTCCACAAAGGCTGGGACTGCCTCTGTCATGCCTATATCCTTAACTAACACTCAGTGACCATTTGTTGAGTGAATGAGATACACAGGAAAGGCATTAATTGCTTTAGTTCCTTTAAACCAGCCTTTCATGTGAAATTTGTGCCAAGGCTAAAGTTATACCTCTTCAAAACTACCTTCTGCGTGCTCTGAGGCAAATGATTTTGGGAAGACCAAACCAAACTGAATCAGACTGACCCCCTGTGAGTTTCTAATACTGTAACTGTTTATGGGAGAAGAAAGCCCAGTTTATCTTCCTGGGAGCTGCTGGTGGTTTTGAAGTGCTGACCCTGACGATCGCAGCCCAACTCATAACCACTTCCCTCCCAGGGAAGACACTGGGCATAAAGGAACTAGTACATCTAAAGCTACTGGCATCCATGAAATAATTAAATACAAAAAAATTGGTCAAGTACTCCTCAGAGTTTTGTAGTTTTAATAAAACATTTTCACTATCCAATAGACTCATTTCTTGTTCTGTCCCAAACACCGTATCGCACTTGGTCACTCACTGCTGTCAAGTCAATCCTGACTCGTTGGCGGCACTGTGGGTCACTCTTCTTTTTTGACTTTTTTTTTTATAATCATTTTATTGGGGGCTCGTACAATTCTTATCACAATCCATCCATACATCCATTGTGCCAAGCACATATGTACATTTGTTGCCTTCTACTTTAGCCCTTAATATCAGTTGCTCATGTTCCCCCTCCCTCCCCACTCCTTCATGAGCCCTTCATAATTCATAAATTATTATAGTTTTGTCATAAGTTA